AGATAGGGACTGAGTACGTAACTGTAAATTGCGAATACCAATGTCAGAATAGATAGCGACAAATTACTACTCAATAGTACAGTTTTCAATTGTGTGTCGAAAAACCAAAACCTATGAGGGTGAGCGCGGGAAAACGTGTGTGAGCGAGTCATTATTGGTTTTGGTTTTACTTCTGATTGGATGAAAAATTGGGAGAGTTTTTAAGCCAATCGTGTGGTGTAATAATTCATACCAATGACATTTGGACAGTCAATTAAAAAAACGCTCTTATTATGTAACTGAGAAAATTACTTGACTGGCCGAGAGCAGGCCAATTTCGTTAATTTCTAATTTGCACCGCAGTGCACTTTAACGGGCGCGCTTATGTGATTTTCCCAGTCATATGATACTGATATGACTAATGGTATGAAGGCTCGAGTAATTAACTCTATAAAGGATTTACAAACGGCAATTCTCAATTAACAGAATAGACTTCTAACAGGTGTATTTAGATCAAAAGTTTCTAACATTTTTTTCGCTTTGAAAAGCCCAGCCTTAAAAAGGAGTCTACAAATTGTCGTATAACTACCGTGTTTTCACATGTTTCCCAATTTGAAATTTTTATATATAATATATTTCTTTCCAATGATCTTTTTGTCGCTGTTTTTTAGTATTACTTTATTTTGACATATCTCTGTAGTTTTGGGTTAATATTGTGCCGAATTTTTATAAAGTCGCGCGCAAATTGTCAAATATTTTGGAGAGTTGAAAGTTTGATAAAAAAAGGGGGGTCTCTGAGTAAGTTTTTGTTAATTCGTCAACTAAGAAATCAATGACGTAAGAGATTAATTAAGACTCAGTGCAATTGCTTTAAAGTAAAACGCATAGTACCTTTTCAATTCTCTCACGAAAAGTCTCTTATAAATTCGAACGGCTCATTTACGTCTCGTTCTTCTGGTCAGCTTACAAACTTATCAGTAAATCAAAACGTGAACACAGAAAGGGACTCGCTTGTCGTCAAATTTTCTATCAACATGGCTCCTGTCCATCAGACGACTTGAACTGTAGCTGTATTTCCTCAGTAGAATAATTAATTTAAATTTTCAGGCCTTAGAACGTTTTAACAACACCTTGCGTTTCGCCTTTCCTATCCGTGGGCATGTTACAATTGTAATTTTAATTTGATAACAAATAAAATGTATGTATATATGTAAAAATGTATGTATGTACATGCTTCCCATGTAAATAAATAGACACAACCTTAGTTGCCAAGATTGTTTGTATAAATTTGTTTCACGATGCCAGCGCATGTGCACGTGTTCTCAGAGGAACTGACATCGAATAGAAGTCTGCAACGCTACATTATGTTTCCTGCTTTTTTATTTATAGGTAAAGAGACTAAAACTAGCTGTTTGCTTTTTATTACATCCTCTCTTTGCAATTACATCTACTGATCACAGTTCCTGATCCATGGCTTAAAGACGAAATGATTAAAAAAAAAAACATTTTTAATATATGTTTGTAAATTAGGTAATGGAAAATATTCCCAATCTTGTTAGCTCAGTCCTGTCAACCTTTTATTCCCAGTTAAATTATTTTAAGCTGTGAGTTCCAGAAGTCCTCATTGGGCTAAACGTTGTCAATATAAACAAATAATCGGCCTTCTTTTTTTCCTTTTAAGCTGCATCATTTGGTACTAGTTACCATATTAAATTATCATAAATATGGGGGACCCCAGTCCTCCAAACTGAATTGGAGTGCCAGCAGAAATTTTGGCTTTAGCAGAAGGCCCGGGAGGAATTAGGCGAATATAACTGGAAGTAGAGCCAGCAAAGCATGAAGGGAACTAACAAAGATACAACAAATATTGATAGCGGAGCCCCGTACCCATATGGGAAAGAAAAAGAAACCCATGAATTGATTTTCTCATGGTTATCATGGCTAGCAGTATTGCTCATGGGCGCGTACGCACGACGACGACGGAGTCTCGCAAGATGGCGGCCATACTCCAGCTAAAAGGTTGACAGAAACATGCAGCCTTGATTTATAGCCCCTTCTTTGATATTGGACATCCATGGTCAATTGACACCCGTCAAAACGAGGTATCTGCTGACCAGTATCACGTGACCATATCGCCGGATCAAGTTCAGAACTCATTGATGTCACGTATTTTTTGAAGTTGACCGCTGACCAAGTGCTGGTTTTCTATTGGATCGCAGACTCATGTCAGGTTAACTAGTTGTAAATGGGGCCGGGTCGTTCCAGAGCTGGTTAACGCTAACCCAGGATTAAAAGTTAACAGAAGTATAAATATTTCTTGTATACAAATATTTTTCACTGCTTTTGTTTTGTGTATTTTTGAGATTATTCAAACTCAAAACAGAAGGCCAAACAACATACAGAAAACCTCACTGCAAAGTTACAAAACTCAAATCAAAATTCTCGCTTAACCTGGGGTATCTTAATCGGGCTTTGAATAACCCGGCCCATGAGCTCCGCTTTTAGGCTAGGCTAAATCTATATATTATGGGTTAAGAACCTGCAATAAATAACCGTTCGTTGACTTAAGCTCGTGTATGGATAAAGCTGATAAGCATTACCTTAGCTATTGTATTTCTTTCCAAAGGACCAAGAGGATTCGTCACTTGAAAGTCTAGCAACAACAACAGCTGATCAACTTGTAATTCAATGCACGATTTGTCCATTGCATGTTTTAAAAAACTTGATGTAGCTTGATGTCGTTGAGTTTATTATTTTCCAAGTGAACCGCTTAGATAATCTTTCTTTTTCAATTTCTTCAAACCGAAAATAACAAATTAGTGCCTCTTTGGCTATGTATAAATAATGCGTCGAAAAGTAACAAATGATGATGATCAGAGCAGATAAAAGTGAAGGATTTTCCTCTATCCTCTAGATCCGATATGGGTTGTTTTTTGGCTCGGCTGTTTTCTTAGCTCTGCAGATTTTAAGCGCTGCGTGGAATAGCAACATGAATAGCTCCAAGAACTCCGCCACGGTCAGTACAGAGAATCCAATCCACAGACCCAACTGACCGCCAATGTCGGACACGAAATCCTCAATCTGTTGATGGCAAAGTGTAATCACTTAATCAGAGACAGGCTTCATCTCAGTCTTGCATCAAATACTATGCTGTTCTTTATCAAAAGTATAACGGAAGTTGAATTTCGCTGATAAAATATCCATTGCTTTTAGCAGCCTTCCTTGTAGACAATCTCACATTTAAGCAACCGACATCAAATATCAAAATTAAAGTTTCCCATTTTACGTATAGATAAACCATCGCAACTTTCATTCTGATGTATTCACGTAGGGATGGGAATGTTTCGAACTGACAACTGAACTATCCCTTACTTGCTTGTGGAGTTTGGTGTTTAAATCAAATTAACGAAGTAGGCCTACCTCGTAAGACCGCTGTTCAGTTATCACCTCCAAGTTAAGCTCCTCATAGAACACTTGCAACTTGCAAACATTTTTTCTGTGCAATTAAATAAATTAAATAGACGTGATGTGTTTCATCATTTTGTTAAAAATATCTTAAATGTATCAGTAAGGGGTAAAGAGCATTGACTAGTAATACTCCAATAACTTCCTACGTATTCATGAATCGGGACTTTGTTTAACATTGTAAGGAAACCTTAAATTTACTTTGTATGTACAGGGTGAATAGGCAATGTGCATGATGGCGTCATTTGACTACAACTACCAGATTCCTTCACTCTTTCTGTTTCTTATGTTAATCAGTAACCTATGGACATGCATTCTGAATTTTCAACAATGGGTGCACAGATGTGAAACCACGACGAGCTAAAAGAGATGAGCTTGACATCGGTCGAGGCACACCATGCTGCGAAGGACAGGATCGTTGATCGTTGACCTCTCATGTCCTACCCGGGATGAAAAGGACTAAGGAGGAGGAGTGAAACAACCCCTTGCATGCTTGGATGACGTCTACCCGACTATGGTGGCCACCTTTATCCTAAGTTCTTTTACGTTTTAGAATAGTCTGGAATGTAGTAAGGATGTTTAGAGAAGGGTACTCTTAGCCCAAAAGCTATATTTGATTATCGAATCGATTTACCTGTGAGATCCATCTTTGGTAATTAGTTTATTTTTGTTCTTTAACTCCTCTGTATAGATTGGCTAAAGAAGGAGAAAAAAAGAACTAAAGAATTACTTAGCCAATAAACTTAATAATAATAATAATAATGAAAAAGACATAACAATTATTAACAATAAGTAACACCAGTGAAGCAAATTTATGTGGGCATTTTGTTTTAGATCACTTGAAGCATAATAAAAGACATACATCTGATATAATAGAGAATTGTACACATACACAGAGAGTTCCTTAGCGGGTCCCCGTTCATACCACGTGCAAGAATGATTCTGATTCCTCGTTTCAAGAAATTATATTTTACATTTTACAGTCAATAAATCCAGCAGGGAGAAATTTGGCTCAAGGAATCTAGGAAGCAAAGCCCTTTTAACCATAACGCTTACCTCAAATCTCTCTGATGGCCAAATGGCGAAAGAAGTACTCATCTTAAACCCCTCCTCCCTGGTTATAAAGGATGAGAGAGAATTGCTATGTTAACAGAGCATTTTCGTATTCTAGCCACCTTTTATGCTATCAAAATCCGTCCGATGATTCTAAAACGACAAAATTAAACAAAGGTTTGTTACTACGAGCATATCGGTACTATAACTTCTTAACAAACGCAAAATTATTATTAATATGTAATTCATATTCTATAGCGCCTTCCAGCAAGTAGGTGCCCGTAAAATAAGCGGTTGGCCCCACCTCCAATAAGTCCGACGTTAACTGAAATATGCTTTTTCGGAGAAAGCGAAGGTACCAGTATTTACAAACTAAATGACACCTTTTGCATTATCTGCTCCTACTGCTAAAGCAAAAACTGCGCGGTTTAATTGGTTTCAGTTAGACGAAAATTTACTTCCAGCAATAGGCTAATGAACGAATAACCTAGGTTTTCAAAGTGTCCTTTCGTCTACCTGCATGGTGGCGGACACGAGTCAGTACAATTCAATTTGTTTTCTCTGAACTTCTTCTGCACTTTGCTGAGACATTTGCCTGCCAGAACAATGAACAGCAAGAAATTAAGAAATTAAAATGAATTTGAAAGCGATAACATTGAGTTTCAAGTTTCAAGTTTAGTTACTTGTCAGTTTGTCTGTCACACTGCAGATGCCGTATGTGGAACTTCCGGGGAATCTGTATTCCATGCATTTGCACTCTTTAAGTTGATTGTACGCCAAGCAGGAATCTTTGCATGCCTGAAAAAACAATGTGATAGAATTAAAAGTGGAGCTTCCATTCCGTGCGCATGTAATAGCTACTATTATCAATAGTGTGAAATAGACAAAAAACAGGGAGGGGAGAATATCAATACGCATACATGGTTAGTGAATCCCCGTTCTTGTATCGAAATAAGAAAGATACAAAAGAAGATATGGCTGCATTTTTCTTTAGTGCAAGGTAGAAATTAAGTCAATGGCATTTACTTGAGAGGTAATAGCTTTTACTAAGACACAAAGGATTGCACCTTCTACTAGCCACTGAGATTACTGCAAGTATTTTCACACGCTCCCCATTATTTATTCCGTCAGTAACTTTTGGCCGTGATCATATTGTACTTATGATATGCAACATTTTCCTATTCATTCAATCCATCGTGGAACAGCATATATTTGGACCACGACTATGACGGATATCTTCAATTCTCTATTACATCGCAGGTCATCACATTGTGCAACTGGGAGTGAGACTCAATTTTGGGCTCCGGGAAGATAGATTCAGGACTCGCAAAGTTGAGAGTAGGCTTCCTGTAAGACTCGATTTGAAAGATCACACGAGCTACAAAACCAACTTACAGTTGCGGAGTAGACTGCTCCAAAGTGTTTTGTGTACAAGTTTGATTTATCACTGGAGACGGTCTTTAAACAACGCTTGCTCTCGAAGGGATCCTCTCTCTGTATCATTTCCTTTAAACAAAAACAAAACAAATGCAGATATTTTAACATGATAGGCTATTCATGGCTCCTGGCTTCGACTTAGAAAAAACATATTCTGACTACAGATTTTTTGATTTGGTTTCTTGGGTCAAACACTGCTTTCTTCATTTCCTTTTTTATAAATAGGTAAATTATAATAGCACATTGTTTGGATATTCTATCTAGAGCGATTAGCGACATTCCGCCAGTTAGCCCTAATGCAAGGTTTCTATTGTCTTTGGATGAACTGCACCATCATAGTAGAATGCTTTACAGTTTTCTTCACCTTTCTCAGTCCAATCATTGTGGCATATCCCGGAGCCAGACTCACTCCTCTCTCCAGTGGAAATGGCATCTCGCCCTGAGTGCTGATATCCATTCTGATTCCTGCTTCTGGAGCCAAAACACCGATGTAATCTTCTTGCTCAATGTTGAGCTCTAAGTTAAGCCCTGCAGTGAAAAATAGTGAAAAAAAACTATAACCCCACAAGGAAAATAATGTTTGCGTGGATAGGGTAAATCTCAGTGAAATTTGAATACCAGTAATTAAAAATTCAAACATAGGTCGTGTGTATTACCATGCTTGTGCACAGTTGATTAGATACAAAGAATAGAGTCACGTCACGCATGTAATTAACTGAAGAAATATTGGCGAATCACAATCAGACATTTTAATCATTTCCACAAGCAAGGGTGCAAATTAGAAAAAAATAGACCGATCTAAATAAATTCAACTTGTCTTTCACTGTTTCAAGAGGAGCTAGAGTCCCTAACGTCATTATTATATGAAAGGAAAGACTCAGACGCACCATGTGATGGTCCTGGCTTATTGGATTTTAGTATGCGTGCATTTGATCCAGAGCTTGTTTTGCCACTGTTAAACGTGTAACAGTTACCGTATTTGTAATGCCAAAACCTCTCCCAGAAAAAGGACGTGAGGTTTCTGAAATAAAAGAAAAAAACAAACAGTGAACAAACAAACAGTAAACCACACTAAGATTATAAAAAATCATAATGTTTTTCCCTTCTAGTGATATTAGAAATCTGAGTCAGATTTCTAATATTACTAGAAGGGAAAAACACTACCTAGCTCAACCGACAACACCTAGTTAAAGTCGTTTTTTGGGGACAAAAACGTTAACTTTGCGTTATAGATCATGATTGAAACATTCTTTTATGTTAAAATGAGAACTTACCGACACGGAACACCTCTGTAAGTACACGATAACACCATGTCCTCAAAACGATGACCCATCGTACTTAGGAAACTTTCATTTTTCTCGGCCATAAGAACGGCCATTTGCTCGCTCTTTAGGAAACGCGGCTCTTTCTTAGCTGGATCGTGAAACTCTCTACTCTCTTCGTCATCCCGGTCATCATAGTCGTCAGGGTAATCGGCTGAATTTTCATCATCGCCATCATTGGCTCTTCGTTTTCTACTTTGAGCCGTTAAGGACGCATTCCTTGCTTCTTTTGAGGTAAAAAGAAAAATAATCAACACCCGCAACACCGCTGAGCAATTTATATAACAACATACTGGATCATTACATTAAGGCAAGTCGCGATGGTTGTTTACTGAATGAGCAATGAAAGTTGGTTAATAAGTAGACCCGTAAGGTCCAAAACGTGAGGTTTTCCCAGGATTAGAATATGAGCCTGGTCGAACAATCATGGAGACATGAACAAATACCAGTTGGCTGCACTTACCAAGTTCAACTTCAATGACTTCGTAAACAAATCCCCTGTCCGTATCCTTTGCTGCTTTAAGAGAGCTGTATTTGATTGCATTGAAGTTGCAGAAAGTTACAGCTGGAAATGGAGGACTCTGTGAGAGAAATAAGAACTGTTTTTGAGAGCATGATTTTTCGGTCAGTGACACAAGCGTAGGTCCAGTTTCCCGAGTTGAACCAGAAGGTGTCAGGGTCGACTCCTATCTGGAGAACTCATATCGGTTTTTCCGAGCATACCTTTGACACTGACAGAAAACCATCTTATAGATTTATTAGGCTAAAAGTTCTCCGCTCAATCGTTTACTATCATTACAAAGGATGCCCCTTGTCGACATTCAACTACTGGTGGTATGCAGGATATGGTTTTCATCAAAACCGAGTTAAATGGCCTTAAATTGGATTCAGTTGCTTTGTGTAGGAGAAAAAGAAATATGAAATAATTTTGGTACCAGGGGATGGAAGTCGTGCGACCTAAATCTGGATAAGGAAATTCATTTTCACACCACAGACCATCAGTTTCATCTTGGCAAGAAGTCTTCGTGGGTGGCGCGGGGGCCAAATTATGAGTGCCCTGGCCTCTAGATCAAGCCGGCTGCATTCAAACCCTGGCTGGGGTCATTGTATTGTGTTCTTGAGCAAGACGCCTTATTTTCATTGTGCCTCTCATTATCCAGGTGTTTCACTGAGTACCAGCAATTTTAACACTAAGAAAACCCTTCGATGGACTGGTAAGAAGAAGACTGGGAAGAAATACTCCTTGTCGCTTCATGAAAGGAAACCGAAAATAGACAGTAGCCTGATGAGTCACTGGGGTCGAATTCCCGACTAAGAGGCATACTAAATAAAGGCGTTTTCTTTGTTTAAAGCCGTGAGAAGAAGCGAAAATTCGAACCATACCTTGGATGTTTCTACTGTCACCAAGGTAGTGAGCGGCCGTCTTTGGTATTTTTGGAACAAAGTGTGGACTTGGACCGTCATGATCGTTGTTGCCCCTAATAACAGCATCGTCCAAAATACAGTCCGAGTCCAGTGTGTGGCGGCCATTATCCTTCCCAGGCCATGAGCAGATGTGTAGTCGCAGAAGTTCTTCACCAGTGACCAAAGCGTGTTGCTTGATTCTCTTCCATGTACCTCTGTTGCATCCTGGCTAACAGCGTCTTGTATCTCCATTTCGAGATAAGATTACCAAGTCATTTAAATGGCGCAGCTGTATCCAGGAGATAATATTGTTCAGTAAGTATAATTTTGGAAAGAAATGTGTTAAGCCTAACTGTTACAATCATTTCTTTCGATTTTGCTACAAGTGAACAAAACCAATTCTTGCACTATGCGGAAAGTTTGTCAAATCTTAACGCAGCCATTTGGTCTAGTCCCCACGAGTCACCTTTTAAGCTCTGTGAAAGAGCCTATGGCCAGTTCAAGTCCAACTTATGCTCAAAAGGTACTGAAACTTGGAAATTAAAACAAAGTTCGACCTCTAGATGCGATCAATTGAAACCATTGACCCAACCTTTTTGGATTAGCTTGTCTCCAATCTGTCTTGATCACAAAACTGGATTTGTCTCAGTTACTGACACTTTTCTTTGGCCCTGCTGAAATCCCGCAATTATTATTTATCATCATTCAATCTATGAAACACATCGAAATGCTATTTCAAAATTGCTGCGCAAGAAATATGAAGACCACCTCAGCATGGCTCTACACGAACAGAGGCATTCTTTGTTACTCCAATTGCATAAGGATATTATTTTTCAGTAATAAACGTCCTGAAATAGTACGTACCCTATGGTTTCATCTTTGCGTTAGGAGAAATAGTGGTTTATCCCCTGGACTTCGAAGGGTGAAAATGGCAAAGAACATACAAAATTATATAAAAAAAGCTTCATTGTTTTATAATTAAGATTATGCAGTAATTTCATGCTCGGAAAGTGCCCGAACTTATCATGCATTATTATGTTAGGCCAAATATTTCGTGAGAGACATTTATGCCGTAATTAAAAAGTGAAAAAAGTGGCACCATCTATTCAAATGCAAAATAGAATTCCAATTTAAGCAGAATTCTTGATAACAGTTGACGACTATCATGGAAAACAGTTTTCTAATTTCCTTTCGAAATTAGAAAGTGAATAGAAATAATTTTAATGTTACTAATGAGGGGTCACCTGAAAGGCGTGGTAATATATTTTTCACTGCATTTCAAACTTTTAGTCGGGTGTTTTTGACGCTTTAGGCGGTTACATTTAAGAGACATCTCTGTTTTTATTCCCTGAAAACTAAAAGAGAAAAGCCACATCCTGATCCGGTAATGTTAGAAATTGTTCAATCGGATGTGAATTAGTTGAACTTAATAATTTAGGTATGCTCAAAGTTGAATAGCGTTTGTTAGCTTTGGTGGTCTGAATCATGTCTTTTGTCTTTCTTTAGAAATTATAGCAGTTGTTTTATTTTCGTATATTAAATTTTAACAAACTGAAAAAATGTCAAAAAATAAACATGAATTGCATCTTAACTCAGTCTCCCATTTTCTCGTTTTCCAGAGTTTTGCTCATCTCAAAACGTGGAGAAAATAATCATTATAATTTGGAAAATTCATGAAAGATACAGCCTTGAAGACTCAAGAACAGCTAGCGACTAGATTAAAACTAATTAAAACTAAAAACGTCGGCTTATCAAGCCTTACGTTAACTTAAGGTATGTCACCCTTCAAAAACAAGCTACTTCAAATCTCCTAGGGATCAATATAAATAAAGCAATATTTTTTGTTTTTGTCGCAATCTAAAATAAAATTTTATGTTTCTTTAATTTACTTAAGAGGAACTTGAAAATCACCTGCATGGGAAACTCAAACTCTTACGTTTTTGCTTAAACTGCCTCTTAAACTCAGCGGATGTCAGTCTATAGCCACATTAAAATTCCTTTTCATCAAACAAACTTCTAAATTTCTACAGTCTACATTATAACTGAAAACAGCTTTTAAAAATCTTTTTCTACAGTACGACATACCCAGCTTAATTTGATGTACAGACCTCCCTTGATGCGATCCCTCGCGCCATCCTTATGGCGTCGAGCAAATGTTTCACACAACAGAACCTCTTAACGAATTTTAACATGCTTGACAACTAAAAAAGCGTCGTTGTTTTCTTTCGTTTTCTTTAATAATGCCAAAAAAATAGGTTGCTAGTTATTGATAATTGAACCAGAGCTAGACTTCAGTCGGGGAAGTCACAACTGTGCAATGGCTTGAGAGAATTGCGTCCCAACAATTTCTCTGTTTTGAAATAAGTGGATGAATAAATTAACTTGCCCGTCCTCTACTAAATTCCCAGTGAAAAATGATCCATTTAAAAAAAAAATCAGCAAATCTTTTATACAGTTTTGGTGATCAATTCAAGGACTGCAAAAGATCTCCTAGATGTGGAGTAAAACAAACTGTGTGAGTAAAATTTGGGCATCGCGGGTCATATTTACGGAAACCTATATTGCTTATCGCTTGATTTTTTGACACGCCTTACCGCATTCAAATTTGAATTTTCCAGAAGTTCCAATTTTCCATTGGAAAATTATTTGCTGAACACTTAACACTAATGGCGACTTTGTCAGAAATTTTCCTATTATATTTCACAGTCCAAACTAGAAAGAAACCAACATATTCGAAGTGGGAAGTTCTGAAAGGCCACAAAGGAGTAACAAATCCTACGAAGTTTTAAATTCCTTAAACACTTCCCTAACCTGACAAATAGATAAGAATTTGGTATACTGCAGTGAGGAAGGGGGGGGTGGCTGACTCCTGAACAAACGAAAAATTCAAATTTAAACCGACAAAAATTTAGTCATCATGAAGGACGCACGCTGGTCCGTAACAACGCATAGTTCGTTGCCAGCCTGTTATTAAATAAACGCTTTTTTGTGCTCGTCGGGGAGGAACACGCGCCAGGCACGTGCACAAAAGACTGTCTAAGAAGCTATGTCACCATATTATAAAAAAAGATATTGTAAATGACCATTCCATAACTAACTTTCTTGTGTTATTTAAGGCGCTCTTTGTTATAAATAGATTTTTAAGTGGCTGCGTAGGTCGCTTGCAAATGAGCCAGATTATTATTCTTTCTTTCTAACTAAACTGCATTTGGTGGTTGTCAGAATGAAAGCATTTCTACTGGGTTAACTGGGTTAATTGTGGCGAGTTCAATCGGTTGCTGCCATTTTGAACAGCCCTATGTCAAAACCACTTGTTGTTTTTACCATAAACGACTAAGAATGCCAACTTTATATTACGGCGGAAAACGCGCCGATATCCATCTACGTATAGCTGATATTATACTTCGAGTAGTATACCTCCATATCATAATCCAACATTCATCTTTTCTTCAAGGTAGCAGCTTACTAATTTTCACTAATGTGTTTTCATTTACTTCAAGTTAAACTACAAGAAGTAAATGGCAGTGACTACAACTTTACGAAATAATTCCCTAAAGTATTTGGGGCCGCTAAAGCAATATTGCCATTGGCTTATCAGAGGATTTAGGAACTTCCCGACATTCTTTGAATTGAAAATTATTCAAAATAAGCATGAAATAGAAGAAGAAATAAATTATTATTTTCGATTTTCTATTTAATCAGAGATATCAAAAAGGTCTGCAACAATAATTTATTCATTGAAAGAAATAATTATATTTTTTTTGTTGATTGTGGTGATATTTTGTTTTCTGCTTTTGAATTTATAGCAAAAGAAACTAAAATTAGCTGTTTGCTTTTTTATATTCTTTCTTTGTAATTGCATCTACCGATCACAGTTCACTTCCTGATCCATGACTTACAAGAAGAAAAAATTTAATAGATAAACATTTTGTTAAAATATATGCTTATGAATTATTTTATTAAAAATATTTCCAATCACCTTTTCTCAGTTCTGTCAACAGTTTATTTTATTTATTTTATTTTTATTTTATAGATTCGCCATGAGGCAGGTGGGCATACAAAAGAACACAAGGGCCCCTTCTAAGTAAACCCGCCACCTAATCATCCCCCTAAAAATCCCCCTAGTTTGTTCCCATATTTGAATTATTTCAAGCTCTAAGCCGTAGAAGTTCTCACTGGGCTGAACGTTAAACAAAAAAACAAATAACAGGCCTTTCTTTTCGTTTAAGCTACTTTAATTGGTACCATGTAGTTACCATATCAAATTATCATGTATATGGGAGACCCCGCCCCTGTCAAACTGAATTGGAGTGCCAGCAGAAATTTTGGCTTTAGCAGCAGGAACTCAGAAAAAAAGAAAACCGGAAGAGGAGCCAGCAAAGCGTACAACATATAGTAATACGGGTTTACAACTTGCAATAAATAGCTTTTTGTAATTTTTTTTCGTTGACTTAATCTTGTGTACAGAGCAACATTTGTCCATTTTGTACCTCTCTCCAGTTGCAAACTCGGCAAATATTTTGCTATAGCTGATTACCATCATCTTTGCTATTGTATTTCTTTCCAAAGGACCAAGACGATCCGTCACTTGGACGGTCTACCAACAATAACAGCTGATCAGCTTGTAGTTCAATGCATGATTTGTCCATTGCATGTTTTAAACAACTTGATGAAGCTTGATGTCGTTGAGTTATTTTATTTTCCATGTCAATTGTTTAGATAATCTGTCTTTTTCAATTTCTTCAAACCGAAAATAAATAATAAATTAGCGCCTCTTTGGCTATGTATAAACTACGCTTTCAAAAGTAACAAATGAAGATGAACAGATTAGACGAAAGTACAGGATTTTCTCTATCCTTTAGATCCGATATGGGTTGTTATTTGGCTCGGGTGTTTTCTTGGCTCTGCAGATTTTAAGCGCTGCGTGGAATAGCAACATGAATAGCTCCAGGAACTCAGCCACAGTCAGTACAGAGAATCCAATCCACAGACCCAACTGACCGCCAATGTCGGACACGAAGTCCTCAATCTGTTGATGGCAAAATATAGTCACCTAATCAGAGACAGGTTTGATCTGCCTTGTATCAAGCAATATACTATCTTATATCAACGAAAATTTGAAGTGTAGAGCTTATACAGTATATGTGAATTGATCCAATGCTTTTATGTATACCTAAACCATTGAAACTGAAGTATTCACATAGGGATGGGAACAATCCCCTACTTGCAATTGTTTGTGCAGTTTTGTGTCAAAATCAAACGAAGTAGGCCCACCTCATACGACCGCCGTTCTGTTATCACCTCCAAGTTAAGCTCCTCATAGAAGACTTGTAACTTGCAAACATTTTTTCTGAGTGATTGGGTAAAATAATTAATTTCATTATTTTGTTAATAACATCAGAAATGTACAAATCGAGGGGTAAAAGCATTGACTGTTAATTTCACTAGAACCTCTTGGGCATTTATCACTCTGAAATTTGTTGAACCTTTTAAGGGAGTATCAAATTACAATTGTGTTTGAATTAGCGCGTTTTCGTCAAATTAATCGCCAGATCCGTTAATTCAGGTCATTCAGTAACTCATCTTCTTTATCCCAACTGAAACATAAAGCCAGTTAGTCCTTGTAGTTAAGTTTTGTCAGGAAAGCCAAACAGTAATTACTCGGAATGTTAACGTCAGGATTTTCGTAAACAGAGACTCGTCGTATTTGTTTTCAAATGACAGTTTCCTGGGTAAACATGATAACAATTAAAAACTTGAACATGATCTTGACAAGGGGGAAAACCCTTATAAAGAAAATCGAGTCTTTAAATGAAAGTTTTGGCCTGTTTGCCATATAGAGTAAATCAGTGGTCTCATAAACTCGAATTCTGAATTTTCAGTGAAACGACGCCTTTTTTGGATCACGACCAGTCAACTACGGTGCCAGCCACCTTTATCGTCATATCAACAACAAGGGTCTATTACATCTAAAAAAGAATGTGGAATGTAGTAAAGATGTTCAACGAAGGGTAATCCTCGCCCAAAAGTTAAATATGATTATCGACAAAGTTTACCTGTGCGATCCATCTTTGGTAACCAGCTTCTTTTTGTTCCTTAACTCCTCTGTATAGATTGGCTAAAGAAGGAGAAAAAAAGAACCAAAGACTTACTTGGTTAATAAGCTTGAAAAAAAATCATAATAATGAGAAGAGAGAGCAAGACAATAATTAGCACCAGTGGAGCAGATTTAAATTTTTTGTAGACATCTTGTATTTAGATCACGTGGAACAATGCATAGTTATAGACATGCATCTGGTATTGGAATCATATGCGTACACAGCGAGTCGCTAGGCGCATCCCCACTCACACCACATACAAAAATGATTTTCATTCCTCATTCCAAGAACTTATCCTATAACATTTTACAATTAATAAATTCAGCAGGGAGAAATTTCGCTGAAGGAATGTTCGGAGTAGGAAAGTCGTTTCAGCCATTAAACGTACCTCAAATCTCTCAGATGGCCAGATAGCAAACGAAGTACTCATCTTAAAACCCTCCTCCCTGGTTATAAAGCAAGAGAGAGAATTTTCAATGTTAGCAGGGCATTTTCATATTCTGTTTCCCTTTTGCATTGTCATCAAAATATCCCCTTTTATGCTACCAAAATCCATTTAATGATTCTATAACGATAAAATTATGCAAACGTTTTTTGCTACGAGCATGGGTGCTATAACTTTTTAACATAATGCAAATTGTTATTAATACGTAATTCAAAATTTATAGCGCCTCAAAATTTAGTAAGTAGGTGCCCGCAAAATAAGCGGTCGGCCTCACGTACATTAAGCCCGTTAATTGACTTATGCTTTTTGGAAAAAGCGAAAGTACCGGTATTTACGAACTAAATGACACCTTTTGCAATACGTGCTTCAGCTACTAACGCAAAGAAGGCGTGGTTTAAGTAGTTTCAGTTCAACGACGACGGCAATTTCCACTCGGCAATAGGCAAATGACTGAGTAAGTTATTGAGTAAGGAATGCTCCCCCAGCTCTTTCAAAAAAACCATTTCGTCTACCTGCATGGTGGTGGACAAGAGTCAGTGCAATTCAATTTGTTTTCTCTGAATTTCTTCTGGACTTTGCTGAGACATTTGCCTGTCGAAACAAGGAACAGAGAGAAATTAAGATATTAGACTGAATTTAAAAGAAATAACGCTAATAAGCTTTGAGAAATGTAAATTTCAGTTACTTGTCAATTTGTCTGTCACGCTGCAGATCCCGTACGATGAACTTCCAGGGAATCTGTATTCCATACATCCGCACTCTTTAAGTTGATTGTACGCCAAGCAGGAATCTTTGCAAGCCTGATGACGAAATTAGATGTAAATTAAAGCTAGCATTGCAGATTAACATGGAATGGCTACCGTTACCAATAGTGTAAAATAGACAGAAAAAGAGGAGGAGAGAATATCGATACATATTTCGTGAATGTCCACTCTTGACATTTTTGTATTTTTAAATACAAAAATTTTAAAAATGAGCAAAGGTACAAAGGATAAGGTTGCATTTTTCTTTAGTGCAAGGTAGAAATTAAGTCAATTGTATATACTAAGACACAAAGGATTGCACCTTCTATTAGCCACTGAGATGACGGCAAGTATCTTCACACGCTCTCCATTATTTATTCCATCACTAGTTTTTGGTCATTATGATATGCGGTAAGCTTCTGTAGCTGCTAGTGTTGTACTAATGATCAAAAACATTTTCCTATTCTTTCAATACATCGTGGAATGAAATAAATTTAATGTAGACCGCGCCTATGACGGGTGTATTCACTTTTCTATTGCATCACAGGTCATCGCAGTGTGCAGCTGGGATGAGACTCAATTTTTGACCCCGGGAAGGTTGATTCAGGACCCACAAAGTTGAGATTACGCTTCCCGTAAGACTCGCTTTGAAAGATCTCACAAGCAATAAAATCAACTTACCGTTGCGGAGTAGACTGCTCCAAAGTGTTTTGTGTACAAGTTCGATTTATCACTGGAGACGGTCTGTAAACAACGCTTGCTCTCGAAGGGATCTTCCCTGTTTATCATTTCCTTCAAACAAGCAAGAACATACAACTATTTAAACATAAAAGACCATTGAAGACAACTCGCTTGGCTTTAGGGGAAAAAATATCCTGACTGTAAAGCTTTTATTTTGATTTCTTGGGTCAGACACGGCTTTTTCTATTGCCAGTTTTATAATTGAGTCAATCGTAAGAGCACATAGTTACAATATTCTGTCTAGAGCATTTAGCAACATTAATTCCACCAGTTAGCCCTGGTCCAAGGTTTCTGTTGTATTTGGACTAACTGCGCCTTCTTAGTAGACTGCTCAACAGTTTTAATCACCTTTCTCAGTCCAATCATTGTGGCATATCCCGGAGCCAGACTCACTCCTCTCTCCAGTGGAAATGGCATCTCGCCCTGAGTGCTGATATCCATTCTGATTCCTGCTTCTGGAGCCAAAACACCGATGTAATCTTCTTGCTCAATGTTGAGCTCTAAGTTAAGCCCTGCAGTGCGAAGGAAAAGTGAAAAATAAAGCATGGATTGAGTGAATTTCAGTAAAATTTGAATACCGTAAATAGAAATAAAAACACGAGAATTGTATGTTACCATGCGTTCGTGAAAGGGAGGCGCGATAGCCTCATGATTAGTGCGCTCTTCTCCGGATCGAGCGGTCCGGGTTCGAGCCCTGGCCGGGGACATTGGGTTGTGCTCTTGGGCAAGACAATTTACTCTCACAGTGCCTCTCTCTACCCAGGTGCATTAACGGGTACCGGCGAGCTTAATGGTAGCATCCCATCCAGGGGGGAGTAGAAATACTTGTAGTCGCTTCATGCTACGTACAGAATCCGGGATAAGCTCCGGCCTGGTGGGCCACTTGGCTCGTAAGCAGACTTAATGCGTGCGTGAAAAGTTTACTATAAAATGTAAATGTCATGTAATTGAAGCAACATTGGCGGATTACAGTTCGAAAATCTTTTGTTATTTCCACAAGTCAGAGTCCATGTATATTAGAAAAAAAAGAGGTATATCTTATAAGTTCAAGTCCATTACATGAATATTAAAGAAAATACTCAGACGCACCATGTGATGGTCCTGGCTTGTTGGATTTTAATACGCGTGCATTTGATCCAGAGCTTGTTTTGCCACTATTAAACGTGTAACAGTTACCGTATTTGTAATGCCAAAAACTCTTCCAAAAAAATGATGTGAAGTTTCTGAAATACACGAAAAAACAAAGGCAAATATTCAAGACAAGTATTTATTTCTTGCCAAGGAAGGAAGCACTTTGACTATACTTTACTTGCAGCAGATAATGTGACAATTCAGGCCAGTTCCTTTAACGGTAATTAGGGATTTTCTATAGGTTTATGTTTAAAGAGAAGTACACTCTGATGTAGACATTTTTTTGGACTTTTTGTTGCTTGCCCCCCAAAAAATAAGATTATTGTGATCACAAACCAGATTTCTAGTCTCGCTAGATAAAGGAAAAGAAAAACTAGCTCAACTGACAGCACTTAGCTGAGGTCGGGTTTTAAACTAAAAACCTTTATATTTAATGAGAACTTACCGACACGGAACACCTCTGTAAGTACACGACAACACCATGTCCTCAAAAAGATGACCCATCGTACTTAAAAGACGTTCCTGTTTCGTGGCCATAAGAACGGCCATTTGCTCGCTTTTCAGGAAACGCGGCTCTTTCTTAGCAGGATCCTGAAACTCTCTACTCTCCTCGTCATCCCAGAAATCATCATCGTCGTCAGGGTAATCGTCTGAATCGTCATCATCATCATCATCATCATCATCTTCGTCAGATCTGCCAGGAGTTGGTTGGGTGCTTTGTACTTGTTTAGGGCCATCATTGGCTCTTCGTTTTCTACTGTGAGCCCTTAAGGAGGCATTCCTTGCTCCTTTTGAGGCAAACGAAAAGATAACCAATACTCACTGAGGAAGTTATATAACAACATAATGGATCGTTACATTAAGGCCAATCGCATTTGTTGTCAACAGCATGGCCAAAACTGGTTAATTAATTAGTAGACCTACATGTAGGTTCCGAACGTGACGTTTTCCCAGGGATCAGAATATGAGCCTGGTCGAGCAAAAATGGAGACGTAAACAAATACCACTTGGCTGCACTTACCAAGTTCAATTGCAAACAGTTGGTTGAAAAGTTCCATGTCCGTATCCTTTGCTGCTTGAAGAGAATCGTTTTTGATTGCATTGAAGTTGCAGAAAGTTACAGCTGGAAATGGAAGACTCTGTGAAAGGAATAATGACAGTTTATGAGTGGATAATTCAGTTTTCAGTGACAAGCACAGTCGAGTTACCTGAGTTCTCCTGAAAGCTGAGTCGAACTAGAGGGTGTTAGGTACTTATCTGAGGATTCTTTTTTTTCTATAATTGTTAACGTTTTTCCACGACTATGCCTTTGACACTGACAGAAAAAACATATACTGTAATATATTTACCAGACTAAAACTGCACCATGCCATTCAGTCGTTTATAAGCATTTCGTATATGCACCTTCAGCTTGTTGACATTCAACCCATAGCAGTTTGCAGGTTGTTTTTCACTAGAAACTAGTTAGATTACCTTACGTATGGCTTAAATCTAGGCATCAGGCATCGTGGCTAGAATTCCTCGTGGGTGGTGCGGGGGCCAAATGGTTAGTGCGGTGGCCTCAAGATCGAGCGATCATGGTTCTAATAAAGTACCGTGACTCGGGTCATTGTGCTGTACGGTTGAGCAAGACATTTTGTCTTCATAGTGCCTCTCTCAACCCAGGTATATAAATGAGTACCAGCAAATTTAACGCGGAGGCAACCCTTTGATGAACCAGCAAGAGCAAGAGTAGAAAAACTCCTAGTCGCTTCATACAAAGGAACCGAGCCGCTGGGTTCAAATACAGACTACGAAATACTAAATGGAAGAAGTTTGCTATGTTTAAAGCTGTGAGAAGATCACCGAAAGTTCAAACCGTACCGTGGATGTTTCTACTGTCACCAAGGTAGTGAGCGGCCGTCTTTGGTATTTTTGGAACAAAGTGTGGACTTGTACCGTCATGATCGTCGTTGCCCCTAATAACAGCATCGTCCAAAACACAGTCCGAGTCCAGTGTGTGGCGGCCATTATCCTTCCCAGGCCATGAGCAGATGTGTAGTCGCAGAAGTCTTTTACGAGTGACCAAAGCGTGTCACTTGATTCTCTTCCATGCACCTCTGCTCCATCCTGGCAAACGTCTTGCATTTCCATTTCGAGATAAGATTACCAAGTCATCTAAATGACACAGCTGTATCTAGGAGAAAAAAATATTGCTTAGTTGGTATAATGCTGGAAAGAACTGAGCGTTAAGCGTAACTGGTAAAATCGTTTCTTTTGATTTTGCCACAAAACTAATTATTGCACTATGCGGGAAGTTTGTCTCACTTCAGTACAGACATTTGGTCTAGTTCCCACGAGTCACCTTCTAAGCTCAGTGAAACAGCCTATGGCCAGTTGAAGTCAAACTCATACTCAAAAGGTACTGAAACTTCTGACCTCCAGATGTGATTAATTGAAACCTGAATTGCATGGCCTACGAGTTTTTAAATAGCTCGTTTTAGTCTGCCTTAACCACAAATCCAAATTTGGCTCAGTTACTGACACTTTTCTTTGGCCCTGCTGAAATCCCGCAATTATTATTATTATCATCATTCAGCCTATGAAACACATTTAATTGTTATTTCAAAATCACTGCGCCAGAAATGTGAAGACTTACTCCATATGTTCTGTGCACGAACAATAACAATCCTCGTTACTCCAATTGCACCAGGATACTATGTTTCATTAATAAAAGTTCTGAAATAGTACGCAACCTATGGTTTCATCTTTGCGTTAGGAGCAATATTGGTATATGTCCTGGACTTCGAAAAGTGAAAATGGCAAAGGGCATGCAAAATTATAAAAAAGCTTTCTAGTTTTATAGTTAAGATGATGCAGTAATTTCACTGTATTTTGTTAACCAAATATTTTGTGAGAGACATGGACGCGGTGATTAAAAAAGTGACACCATCCTTTCAAATGCAAAAAAGCTTTTCAATTTAAGAAGAATTTTTGATAACAGCTCATAATTATCATGGAAACGGTTTTCTAATTTCCTTTCGAAATTAGAACGTTCATAGAAATAATCTCAATGTCACTAATGAGGGGTCACCTGAAAGGCTTGTTAATATATTGCTCCCTTGCACAAGACACTTTAAGTCCGGCCTTTTTGTCTCCTTAGGTTGTATTTAAGAGACATTACTGTTTTTGTTCCCCGAAAACTGAAAAATAAAGTCATATTCTGATCCGGTAATCCTAGAAATTGTTCAATCGGATGTGAATTAGTTGAAGTTAATAATTAAGGTATGCTCAAAGTTGAATACCGTTTGTTAGCTTTGGTGGTCTGAATCGTGTCTTTTGTCTCTATTCAGAAATTATACCAGCTGTTCTATTTTCGACATTTCAAATTTTAATAAACGAAAATTTTTTTGAAAAACAAAATCAGGAATTGCATGTGTGATTCTTTTCCTAACTTAGTCTGCCGTTTTCTCGTTTTCTAGAGCTCTGCTCATCACAAAACAGAGAGGAAAAAATCGTTATAATTTGGAAAATTCATGGAAGATATAGCCTTGAAGACTCAAGAACGGCTAGTGACTAGATTAAAACTAATTAAAAATAAAAACGTCGGTTTATCAAGCCTTACGTTAAGGTATGTCACCCTTCAAAAACAAACTACTTCATATATCCAGAGGCGCTCAATATATTAGAAGCAATATTTTTCGTTTTTGCCGCAATCTGAAATAGAATTGTATTTTTCCTTAAATTACTAAAGAGGAACTTAATACCACCTGCAGACGAGGCTTCAAGTCCTATTTCTCGCTTAAACTTAATATGCTGCTTAAACTCATCGGATGTGACTCCGAACCAATTTAGAATTCCGGCTTTTTCATCAAACGAACTTAACAAAATTTTAATTATAACTTCTTAATTTCTCAGTACGGTCTACATTATAACTGATGGTGCCGTAATGCGGAGGTTTCAGAGAAAACAGCTTTCAACAAGCTTTTTCTACAGTACAACATGTCTAGCTCAATTTGATACACAGAACTCCATTGAGCATTTCCTCGCCACCCTTATGGCGTTGAGCAAATGTTTCACACAACTAAGCAGTAACATGCATGACAACTGAAAAAGCGTCGGTGTATTTTTAATAGTCGAATAATTGGGGGAATAAATTATCTTGCCTGCCCTTTATTAATTTTCCAGTGAAATATGATCCATTTAAAAACCCAGCAAATCTTTTATACAGTGTTGGTAATCAATTCAAGGACTGCAGAAGTTCTCCTAGATTTGAAATGAAAAACTATTCAAGTAAACCTTTCGGCATCGCGGGGTATATTTACGGAAACCTATATTGCTTATCGCTTGAATTTTTGACACACCTTACAGCAATCAGGTTTGAATTTTCCAGACTTTCCAATTTTCCAATGGAAAATAATTTACTGTCGCATTTTGGTGTCAAAAAAACTGAACACTTAACACTAATGGCGACTTTGTGAGACATTTCCCTATTATATTTTACAGTGCAATCTAGAAATTTAAAATAATCGAAATTTAAAGCTGGAGATTCAAAAAAGCCACAAAGGAGTAAAACATCTATACCGAAGTTTTGAATTTCTTAAAGGTTGTTTCTAACACTTCCCTAACCTGACGAATAGGTAAAGATTTTGTAAACTGCAGTAAGGGCTGAGTCCTCAACGTTGCTAGGCTCTTACTAAAACAAACGCTTTTTAGAGCTCGTCGGAGAGGGACACCCGTCAGGCACATGCATATAGAATGCCTAAGTAACTACATCATCATCATAAAAAAAGGAAATTATGTATATAAAGAAACATTCCATACTTAACTTCCCTGTGTTATTTAGGGCGCTCTTTTTTTTTAAAATAGATTTTAAGTGGCAACGTCGGTCGCTTGCAAATGCGCCAAATGATTTTGTTTTCTTTCAGACTAAACTACATTTAGTGGTTGTAATGAAATGATTTCTACTGGTTTAACTGACTTAACTGTGGCGAATTCAATTCGTTGCTGCCATTTTGAACAGGCTTAATTATCTCAGCAATTTTTTCTTACTTTAAACGACTAAGAATGCCAACTTTATATTACGGAGGAAAACGCGCCGATATCCATCTACGTATAACTGATATTATACTTCGATTACGATACTTCCATATCATAATCCAACATTCATCGCTTTTTCAAGGTAGCAGCTTACTAATTTTCACTAATGTGTTTTCATTTACTTCACGTTAAACTGCAAGAAGTAAATTACACTGATTAAACTTTATGAAATAAATACCCAAAAATTTTGGAGCCGCGAAAGCAATATTGCCATTGGGTTATCAGAGGATTTAGGAACTTCCTGGCATTCTTTGAAAATTATTCAAAATAAACAAGACATAGAAGACGTAATTGTTCTTGATTTTCTATTTTATCAAAGGCATCTAAGAGGTCAAAAACAATAATTTATTCATTGAAAGAAATGGTTATATTTTTTGTCAATGGTCGTGATATTTTAGTCATAGCAAGTTTAAAGACTTCGATAATTACAATCTTTTGTTTTATAAAGCATTACCACGTACTCTTTCTTCTGTTAACCTTAACCAAATGTAATTAAAGTATTGAAAAATGTTCATTTAATTTGCAATCAAAATAAATGGCCTGAGCAGGAGAAAAAAAAACCGACAGCTTACAGTGTAAAAATGACCAATTCTACTTCAGACAGGCCGTAAAACCATTAAAATATAATGACAAATATAGCCTGTAAAATGTAAGGAAATAAGTCTTAAGTCTCCTTGGTAATCAGGGATTGTTTAATGTATTGAAACTAAGTTTTCTCCGGTAGTGTTGTCTGGCAAACGAAAGATCCTACCTGTTGTAAATCATTCCCTTCTGGTGTTCATGCTGCCGTCTTTGTTACTAAAGTCAAACCAAAAGCCAAAGTAACGTCTGTAAACCTTGAGGATTGAATTTGTAGTTATGAACAATAATGGTTTAGGAATAATGTTGTCCCTCGACTTTTGCATGTTCCAGTGATACACGAATCATTCAAGTAAATTAGGCCTCATCGGTCTACTTCTCTGACGAGTAGTTGATCGATGGCGCGAAAATTGAAGAGTTCAGGCATTTCCCTCAGAAAGAATTTTCCTCTCTAGAAAACACCAAGCCGAAATGACTTCTCACGCAAGACTGCTTGTAATAACTGCACGTCGTGACTCACTCAAGGACGGTTGCACCATATTTAATTAAGGTTCAATTATATTGATAGCACGTTAAGTCATTTGACCTCAAAGGCTACACGGAAAGTGGTTCTTTATTATTAATATTCTCGCCACCGATTATCAAAAAGTCTGGGAAGCTGAGCACACTCAGGTAATAATCCTGTTGGGGTTAACAAAACCTGGTAAAAACTGTGTCACTTCATTCTTAAATTCGTCAATTAGCTCAATGTCGCCGGATAAATTTGTTACAATGTCATCGAGGTACAAAAATATCATTCAGTAAACAACTTTTTAGACACTTATCTCAGGTCACGGTTTTTTAACAGAAGAATTTTCATTTCTTTTTTGGTTATTGTTTGGTTATTGTAATTGAAGGTAGAAACTTTCCTTGATCTGTCAGGATAGTTGTAGTTCTTTATGAAAACGTATAACTGCAATTAGTACAGCAAAATGATACATCTATGATAAGACATCAAGACCTCAATATTACGCTGACTCACACAGGGCAATATAATATCACACTACGATTCTTTCTGGAACTGTACAAGAATTGCTTTTCAATTTGTCTTGTTCAACCAAAATATTTTTTAAACACCAGAGCAGAGGGAACTAAAAGCAGCTTAAAAATGGTGTGTGGTACAAGCAATGACAAGTACAGGGAAAAAGTCCACATATTTAAATTGTTGACAAGTTATAAATAAATACATCATCAATTTTCGGTAGTCTCTCTTTTAATTTTAACCAGATCGACATGCCTTCTTTGCATTTTATGGTAAATTCAATAGAAAAGCGAATATGGCGTTTTTAGAGGCCGTTTTCATGAAGGGACCCCTCGGTAGTCATACATGAAAATACTACAGAAATTATGTGTTCCTCCATCACCTGCTTAAATGTGTCAGCTAACCCCATCTTGATTTAAAACTACTGATTCTGAGAGATAACGTGGGAATTCAAGCTAAAACAGCATTTCTTGCAAGATGCATAATCTGCTTTCTATTAAAGAAGATCATACACTTAAAGGTAAAGGCGGTGGTTCATGGATAAATAGTGACCACATACCCTGTCAAACCATGTGTAATAGATGCAATTTATAATTTCCTATCTACCATCACCCTTACCCGATAGGAAGGTCTCGGCTATTCTGAAGATCTGTAGTCTGTTGCTCCCATCAAAGAGTTTTAGTACACCTGCTTAGCTGAGCTTTGGCTAAGAATTCCTAACCTGTACTTCGTAAGTATCTAAAGATTCATTCAGGTGCTTCACCACTACAGAAGATTTCAGATTGATTAACTGGGATGCCTGACACATCAATGTGGTCTAAAATCGATCGCGTGATTCATGATCTATACTGAGTGAAGTAGAAATCGGATTATGTATTGTTAAACCCTTAAATTCCGGTCTCAAGATTGATCACTAATTACTTTTGTCATAAATTTAGTTGAGAAGGATAAATAAAATTACTATTGTTATGGTGATATTGCTACCACCAAATTTTCTAAATTGACTTCAAGAGAATTGTGTATGTGGGAGACATTTAATATTTTAATATTTTCTAGTTTGTGAACAGAAATGGCTTGGGATGACTGACAAGCGCTTCTAAATAGCTCAAACCATTCAGATGTAATTATTTTAGTCTAAATATGCGTCATGGGCTCCAGACTGGTAAATATACAATGATAATAGTAATCAATATAGTATTTCCTTAAGGAAGTAAAAATAAGATTAAAAAAAAATAAGAATCCCTAAACATTCTTGCATTTTAATTGGAATCCTACGACGTGTATACAAGCAGACTGCAGTGAAACTTTGTGTACTTGTGGAGTTTGTTATGAAGAAGAAAACGGCGAGAATCCATTTTCGGGACTGGCCAGTTCCACTCAAATTAACGTACTTGAAGAAGTGACGCAAGAAGAACCTTTTTGTGGTACAAATTGGCTACTGATGTTCCTTTCCAAATACTTTTCTTAAGTATAGTCACAATAATAGGGGCTATCAATGAAAGAAAAAGCCACTTCACTCTGAAAACAGGGCTTATAAATTCTAGTTACATGCACGTTACCCACTTAATAACATGGCAACATACTGAAAATGTTCAGTAAATCTAAGATTCACTACTTGAAAACCCGGAACACAAACAGAAAGTTTGAGTCTTTGCTGGGTAAAATAAGTTCCTACTCTATCACGAAAAATGTTTAAGTCGATGAATGCCATCACTTACCAAATATTCCAAATCCTCAAAAGAATTTATAGAGAACTTCAGCGCCACTTTAATAGTCAAAGATCAAGGTGAAAAAATGTGCTCTCTAAACTTTCTAACAAGCTAAGGTGCCAGTTGTTATGGGAACTATTTACGTCACAATGGGAAAAACATTTATAAAGCGATGATGGTCCTTATCGTGTAAGACTATCAATTCATCAAAGCACCAAACGTTACAAAATGGGCCATCTAAAATTCGCCTTGTCTGCACCATCGTTCATAGAGGGAAATGGTTACAAAGCCCGGTGAACATCAAAGAAGCAAACAAACAGGCTAAGATTTATGTTGGAAGGTTCTTGACCCTGCACATCTTTTGTTTCATGCTCATTGACTATGCTTGATTTACGTAATCGCACTGCTCCTATTGGTTAGTTGTATGAGCACACGTAACCACCTTTTTTATTTTGCTAGGTTTTGTGTAGGGTCAACCCCCAAAATAGCCAACAAAAACATACAACAACAAAGAACTTTGCCAAGTTTCCTAACCATTCCCTCAATTAATTATGTCTGCACTGACTAATCAGGGCGTCAAGTTAGCATGAATAGAGTCACATAACAGCTATTGCACAGACAGTGAAAACGTCACCAATTTTATGACCTTTATTTTTTGAGAATGGCGTTCTGGCCTTCAGGCCATATGTCCAAGGCGGGACGATGAGGTTGAGTGATGCTTGAAAAGCTAGGAAGACCTGTCATCTTAACATTTAAGATTTGGTGATATTGAAATAGTTACAAATAAAGATATGGATGTTATTTAGAGAAATACAGTACACTTTAACTGGTAGGCCGGTCAGGTTGGACAAATCTTTTAAGACCGACTGCCAGCTTAACAAATGAAAAGAGCAATCTGCAATTTACCCTTATGGCAAAGCTATGCCATGGAAAGGTTTCTGTAAAACCCAATGGCAGTCTTTATTGCTTTATCCTTAGCAACCGTTTCAAAGAGTAATGCGCACACTTGATTGCCGAGCATTGCAATATCATTCTGTTATATCATGGGGCTTCTTTACTTTCCTGCCGTGCAAAGAACCAAACATAACACTAACGACTTCAAAAATAAACTGTTACCCAAAGAGACAGTTCAAGTGGAACAAATATTGGTACAAAAGGTCGCAACTTAAAACTAAATCACAGAAGACTGTAAAGGAAACCCAAGGCCGGAAATCTCTCCCTTGTTTTTTAGAACTGTTACCTGGGTAAGGGGTACTGACTGGTAAATGCCTGTCTTTGCGAGAAGGCGAGACTAGCGCTTTTCTTGGCGAACCCGAGACAGTTTAGACTTTTTAAATAAAGAGACCGAGACTCAAATGCATCTGAGTGCACGACGTTCACATATTCTAGGCACCTCACCTCAACCAAATCGTTTCTTCGAAACAGTATTTCCAAAAAAGAAAAAAAGAAAAAAATTGAGACTACGAGGCAGCTTTGTGATGAAATTTGACGAAAATTTGGCGAGTACCACGATTTTAAAAGACCATTCGTCATCCGTTGTCTAAGCTTTTATTTAATTTTTTTACAAGTTTATTCATTAAAAGTACTGTTTATTCACACCTCTGCCTTCTTTTACCAGTCTTTCGCTCAGCATTCAGAATGAGCACCAATCAATAGAGCTACTGATAACCTAAGTACTCTAATCGCATTCTTACCTCCACTGTTTTTTTTTTTTTTTTTTTTTTGTGCTTTTTACATTGACTCAAAAAGCTCTACTATGAATTCTTATTGAGTTTATTATTAAAGTCCATAGTAATTGAATGTTAGGTTTAGCTATTACGCAAGTGCAAGGTTATGTGGTTCAGGGAAGTTTCCTCTCTTGTCCTATCTCATTGCTGATTACTCTGTGCTGATGTTTTCTTGACTGTGCATTTTTTGACTGCCAAATGACACAGCAGTAAGATGCGTTCAAAGAATTCGGCTATAGTCAGTACAGAGAACCCAATCCACAGTCCCAGTTGACCGCCAATGTCGGACACAAAGGCCACAAGCTGTTGAAGAAAAACCAAGCAATTAGTTTAGGAATTTTTATAGGGAATATTATCATTTTTAGTGTTGGGCAATATTTAGTGCTGGACTCAATGACTGTGCATCTACAGCATCTAGCTGCAAAACCGTCGCGCGAGCTCGTTTTCCGAAACCTCTCGTCTCAAAAAGTTAGTCTTAGTCGAGCGTGAAATCTGCGTGCCCGCATATCAATATCTTGAGTGTTTTTTCTGTCCACTGACGTTCAATTCCTTTTTCTGGAGGGTAGCGTGTTGTAAGCCTATGCTTCTACGATGTGCTACGGACAAAGGTACTTCACGCTAACTGTGAGTGCCAGTTCCGTTAACCGCAAGAATTCCTGTTCCTTCCGCGAATTTCTAGTCAGCAACTCAAATGGCAGTATTACTCGTGATCGCAATTTTAGCCAAAAGTATTGCCAATTTTAAACATTACGTAATGTTAAATAGAATAGACTAACGTTACGTAATGCGAGCAATCAGCGACTCATTTCTATTTACTTAACTTTAAAAGACTAAGTTATGCCTTCAAAAGAAGTTTCCACTATATTTAAACATATACAAGCCACTGGATTTCTGCAGTAGACAAAATTTGCACAGGTGATTTATTGCGAAGCATGTTTTAAGTACCGGGCATACTGTGGTTAGGCTTACATTATGCTATCGGTCATATCGACTTTATCATATTAGATTGTGCTGAGTGTTTTCTGGTATAAGTAAAACTGCAGGGACTTAACTTACCCTTAAGGATGCTAGAGCCAAAAATGTTCCCACGCAGTAGAAAAATCAACTTTTGCCAAGAAGGCATGTGGCGGTTTCGGGGAGGTCACCGTGCTCGTTTTCGAGATAGTGTGCATTGAAGACCATGCGTTTTTGAAGTTTTCGTTATTTTAGACGATCGTAACTTACTAACTATCAGTAATAAAACTGAGAAGCTACATTAGTGAAATTTAGATTAGGTAAACATACTCAATTCAACAGAACGAAGTATATTAAGACAACTTTTGCAGCTGATGTCGTTCCTTGGGGAAGTATAGTCCTTGAATATAGGAATACATATTATATTTACCCGTCCACACTCGAAGGAAACCTCGGTTGCAAGAGAGCAGAAAAAGCGAAATATTTGTAACTTCTCACCTACAGATTTTTTCTGTGTTTTGTTACAATGGAGAAAAGCAGAAAATGAATTGATCTAAAAAATAAAGTGGGGGAAACTGACCATTTAAGAGAGTAAACTGCAGGTGAAGTCAGCGCAACCGGTGCCAAGCCCTATGTTAGCTTATATTTCTAATCGGTTGTAGTTAGATCATAAGTTGCGATAATGAAAATAATGTCGAAGTAAAGACTCGGTTGATTATGGTTATGAATTATGGTAAGTTTTCATGAATGGCAATCTGAAGTCGAACTAGTTCCGTCAAATGTGATTTCTTTAGAGGTAAGCTTTCGGAGTCTCGCAAAGATTGCAGTGAAAACACTTAACGGGAATACTCGGCTGCAAGCTTGATTTCAACTGATTTTTGATCCCTCAAATTTGATCAGGGAATTATTCCAATATGTATAAGTCAAATTTACAGACTGCCAATATTAAAAAAAAGAAAAAAAAAACTACTACGGAAATAATTAATTTGTCAGGCGATTCTCATTTCACCTGTTATTAACTTGCAACCATCTTATTCACGTCCCGGCCTATACACGTTGAAAATAAACAGAGCAACTTTAAAAAAAGAAGACTAAGCTTCAAATGCAGGTTAACAGAGCTCACAGAATTTCAATATAATTAATTGCCTTGATATGGTTCTATTATAATGTGGCTCAACCAGCACAATTAGAAACAAAACAAAAGAAAACGAACAGATATCTACAAATCAGTGTAAACGCTGCAAACACCGGAAAAGTTTAAGTTCACACCGTGACATCATTACTCATCACAATGTCCGTTAGAAACTTTTCGTTCATTTTTTCTTTTTAATTTGTGTGCACTATGGCGAAGATTACTTCTCCGTATTTATAGTAAGACAACTAAACCTCTAGCAATAATTATATGGGCCTAGTGGCGCACAAATGTAATGAGATTAACTCGTGATA